ACAACATAAGGTTATTAGAGCAGTGCATTATCTGAAAAATACAAATTTTGACACATCAAGAGTTTCTGTTTCGGTAACCAAATTCAATTTACAGAGCTATCTCGAATTTCTGAATAGTTGGAGGCACTTCAAAAGCAGAGCTTGATATAACACCTGTCGCCTTAAGTTTATATGGACCACTGCGCAGCATAAATTAATTCGAGTCAACCAATCTAGCGGGATTTTCAAGAGCTTCCTGCAGGGCTCTTTTTTATGTACTAAGCGAATGAACGTGACTTGAAATAAATTTGCCTTGCTGGCATGGTCCCACAAAGTGCAATTTTCCAGCGGGAAAGTGGAACTGGATTGTTGAAACTGACATGCTAAGACTGCTAACTGTTCACGGAAACATTGATATACATTATTCTCAAATGTACTGGTCGCCTTTAGAGTTGTTACTTAATAAGTGTATTAAGTTTAAAACCCAGCTAACGTGCAGTTTAAATTTGAAGTTATTATGTCGTTGTTCTTTTATTCGACTTTGAATTCAATTTAAATTGGTTGCGTGTGACAGCCTACATTTGTTTGCTCTGGTGGGGAAACGTGGCCGGAATTTTGAATATGTTGACTTCGTCAATATTTTTAAATCGCCTTTACAGATAGTGTAAATGATCAAAAACTGGTAATTAATCACATTATTGATATTTTGCTGATAACAGACAAATCTGTCAACAATACTTGAGAAAGTTCAATGAAAAATTAACATATTTGCTCCATGAATCTGTTAGCAGTCTCGATGAAGGGCGAGTGGCCTTTCACTGAAACTGAAAGCAATTGTTTTAGGTTTTACTTCTTTTTATGAAAACGCTGCAAAGTTGTACTTAGCCCAGTGAATGAAATTAACTGACTTACGAAGGACAAAATCTTATTGTTTTTAATAACAACACGTTAAGAATATCATTACAGACAGACAGTCAAATACACCGAGACGGAAAAATAAATTTATTTGGCAGGCCAGCGGGCAACGTAAATACGATTTTTATAGTTTTAAAGTATTGATATAAATCAGTGGCTTCAAAAAAACAAAGAGATGCTGCAATGGAATACCTTGGAAAAAATAATTGTGATTACAGACCACATATGATCCAGAAGACATACAAGTACAGGTACCACCTCGAGCTCTGCTGCTTTAACTTATCAGGTTTGTTTTAAGATCATTGCTCATTGGTGGAGGTATATACATTGTCTTTACAGTTAATGAATGTTTCATGTTAGGTTTCACAGAAAAATCTTCCACATAAAGCTACTGATATTCTGTATTATCGTTTCTCTGAGGAACTCGAACTTCTCATCTCTAGCTCTGCAAGAATAATTCTTGGGAACATGGACTACTTCTGTGAAGTGAAGTGAAAGACTTTATTTGTGTTTCTAGGTGTATGTTTTCAAAAAAATTCTTACCAGTAGTATATTGTATCAGATTGTTTTACAGATTCATCTAGTTTTACGTCGTGTTAATTTTTCATTAGACTGTTATTCATTTTTTTTTTTTGAATTAGCACGCACCAGAATGAGGATAAAAGTCTTTTATAATTTGTCTAAATCCGCGGATTTCCTGATGATTTTAAGTTTCTAATATCGCCTCAGGGATTCTCAGATGGTATGGGCTCGAAATAAAAATTATATCAGCTTATTTTCTACTGTTTAACAAATTTCATCTTTCACAATCAGAAATATACAAGCGTAGCTTTCAGGATTGCTATTTAAAACTTGTTGTTCCACGCTCTTCGTAAATGAAAGAATGATAAACTCCTTACCTATATGATGACTAAACAAAGTTCATAAGGTGGTAGAGATGACAATTAAAGACGAAATGTGAATAAATTTATTCATAAATCCAAATTTATAGAGAGGAGTTAATTGCTATTATGTTGTTTAATAACAATGACAATTGTTGATAACTTTCAGGTGAAAGTCTCCCTCTAGGTTTACTCTGAAAGCTATCCCATCAGTCTTTTGCAATTGCAAGACATGAAAACGACATACAGTACGTGACGTGCCGGCCCGGAAATAATTTTGAATATCTCCTATTTGTTACCTTAATCCTCTTCATTCGATTAGGAAAAGTCATTCTCGCCGTTCTCCAAGGCAGGGTATGTATTGGTTTAGTTTCTACCAGATTGTTAGAGGAACAACGTATTTCTTTAAGCACACTTCTTTTTATTCTAATTTGCTGCCCGTAAATTCAGAGCCGACGTAGTAAGATTTGTATGTGAACTGGCCAAAGAAAAAACTGCACATTACGAATATTCGAGGTCTACATGTTGTTTACATTGTCTCATTTTGGTATATCTATTATAGAGATCTATTTGACACTCAGAAATACTCTTAATTCCTCAGAGAAACTCTCTCAAGCCCCAAATAATTTGTCACTTTTTTCACTTCCCTCGTGTCATATAGTTCAACAAAGATTCCTATTTCATTGTGTAGTAATGCCCCGAATATGTCACTCTAGGAAAAAAGATCTAGAACGACCAAGGCTTATAATGGTGCACTTTTTGGCTTTGTTTGCAAGCATCTTTATATGAGTAGATTCAATGGAACTGAGAGCAAATTAAAAGATCGAAGAACCTGAGAAACTCTGCCCACTCCCCTTGGCGAGTTACTGCAAAACACGTATTTCTAATATGTATCAATTGGATTCAGTTAAGGCGAGTTATTGAAGTCACGGAATAATAAAGGTGACGATTTTTTTATATATATATATCATTTCCTGCGAACATTCTGTCGTCGTACGTCAAGCAATTGTGGAGGATCCTGGCCGTAGGCACTTGAGCTTAGCACGTTTTCGTGGACATCCACTGAAAATTGTGCAGTCAGCTGGCACACATGCGCATTAGATGCCATTTCAGAGACGCAATCCATTCTGTTTTTAACCAAATATGATAAAAATAATATCATAGGATGAGCAAAAGTACACTCAAAAACAGGTTTTTCAGTAAACGATTGAAAATCAAGCAAACCACTGCGAAGATTGAAGCAGATTTCTAAATGTACTTTGATTTCAGGTTGAGGTGAACTTTTTACAAAGTGAGAAAACTAGTGTCCAGGTCAGCGCGGTCCTAAAGCTGACTGTGTCCCTTTGATTCATTAAATCCTTCGCTCTCCATTATTTATCATTTCTGGCGATCAGTTTATCAGTTTATTTGGCTATTTATTTTTTTGTTCATTCACTTATTAGTGCATTCACTAATTAGTGCATTCGCTCATTCATTCAATTCTTTCCTTTTTTCTCTCTTTCTCTCTCTTTCAATCATTTGACCTTTCGTTCTCTCTTTTATTTCTTACTTCTTTACTTCTTTATTTGTTTATCGTATAATTTTTCCTTTCCATCGCCGGACTCTTTCCGGATTATTTCCGGATTATTTCCGCTGAGGAAAATATTAGTTATTGAACTTCTGTATATTTATTATTATAATCGATCAAATATTTTCGCTCGCGCTCGATTAGTCTGAACACGTTACTTGACTAAAACTGCCCCAGCTAAAACTGGGGAATATATTCCCCAATTTTCAAAACTGCGCGTGTTGCAAAAAATATTTGAAGGATAATAAACACAATAGCCTCCATTCGGCGCGATAATGTGCACGGATATTTGTCTTTGGACATTGTCTGTTCCTCAAAGCTCACGCTATCGGAAAACTGTTCGCTTTTCGGAACAGATGTCCACGGACAAATATCCTAGCACATTTTCGTACCAAATGGAGACTACTGCGCATATGCGCATTTGAACATTTTATGAAATTTGCGCATTACAAATGTTATTGTTATTATTATTATTATTATTATTATTGTTGTTGTTGTTGTTGTTGTTATTATTATTATTATTATTATTTATTAAGCTCATTGACTTACTAGTGAAAATTCCGTATTAGTCTTATAAGATTACAACCGAAACAGAAAAAAAATTTAGCAATGAAATACCCCACATAATGAGAGCATTTTAATGTCATGTGTGGAAAGCTACTGGTAGTTAAGAAGATATGCTGTAGTGAAATCCCAATGACAAACATAATGTACATGCGACTATACATTACGTGCTAACCGTTTGGGTTTTGTATTGATCCGCTTCATTTACAGGGGTAAAAGAATTCGTTACATTGCTATATAACACCTTTTTATCGTGTCTTTTTATCTTTTTGTCTTTCACTTACGTGAAAAATGAAGTGAAATGTATTGTTAGTATATTGGTCATCTTTATATATAATTTGTTCCACTAAACGTATTTGGTAACATTTGTCACTGAAATCACCAAAAGTCACGAAATCAAAAGAAGTACGGCTTGGTATTATTGAGGGGCTTCCTCGATCGTCAAAACAGAGGTAACGTCAGAAAAATAAACATATTTCTCACAAACGCCTGCCATTCAATTGTTTCTGCTAGTTGGTGGAGTAACCTTGAAGTATCGAGGTTTTTTAAGATAATAGCTGTACGGATGAAGGCATACGCGTAGCTTTCACGAGTAACCGGTAACTTTTTGGTGAGTTATCAGACTGGGTTCGACTTCTGTTTGAAGAACTGGGAATTTTTGCTTTCGAGTAGCTTTTTCTCTCATTGTTTAGTATATTTCTCAGTATAGAGAATATTTCTTCAGGGGTATTTTGATATCTTCATTAATGGAAAATATTGGTGTAAAGGTTTCTTTCGAGATAACGCAGATTAAATCTTGCTTCATCTGCGAGGAATAAAAAATATTAATGTGGGTGCTTAAATTTATATTCGGCGAAGGCTAAAAGTCCAAAAAGTAACTAAGTACTGATTCGCATAAGCAAACAAGTTATGTTTAGGAGATGTTAGTCATTTTTGCCGCGCAGGCCGAAGCTGTAGACAAGTGGCAAGTGCTTAAGTTGTTTTGCTAAGTATGTATGTATGGCAATCTAAATCTTTGCAGCGCAAGAAACGGACCCAGTTTACGACATCCGGAAGCCGTTCGCGTTCAATCTTTCCAATCTGATACCTGGGATAAAGTTGGCAATCTATCTCTCAAAAGCAACTCATCACGCTTTTCGGAATTATTTTGTTGTATACGTTTCTTTGACTTAGTTCGATGTTCTGAACTTCTAGATTATGGATGAAAGTTATTTGTTGCAGTGAATTCTTAATACTCAACCACTTTATGCTCTAAATGTTTCCTTTGCATAAATACTAAAATAGCATTTGGCAGGATACAGACAATTAATTACATCTGCGTTTGACATAAAATCTACTATATGCATAATGCAAAATCATATGAGCCAAGAGTGAAGTGTCGTAACACCTTTTGGTGCTAACAAGGTGAAAATCTGCGGGTGAGAGAGGTGATGGGTAAGTTCACTTATTCAGTTAGTACGAAGATCAGTGTTGCTAGCACTACAGTTTATATGCAAATGCAGTATATTTTTCATCTCTTTCTGTCAAATATAATGTTTAAGTTTGGATATGTTACGTAACTACTCGTAAAAAGCAAACACAAGGCTAGACAAGGAAAAAGACAAAATTCACTTCTAGTGTTTTCCAATGACAAATATTTGAGAATGTTCTTATTTTTTAATTATTTCTTTTAAAAACTGCCAAAACTGCCAAAAATTCAAAAGAAACGCGGTTAGGTTAACAATGACGATGCAAATATCCAATGCCTCTATTTACTCTCAAGTTGTTTATTCGTGAAATTCTGTCATGTAGTTATTGATGACTTCCAACAAAAAATACTTAGATGGCATTAAAGAAGAGTAATTTGCATATATGGTAAGCTTTTAAGCTTTAAAATTGATCAGAGAAGATTTAAATGACAGGAACTTTTACCTATGGCGTACAGAAAAATGAAGAACAAACTTACGTTCGGTTTTATTTTTTCTCTTTTTTTTGTTTCTTCTAACAATTTCAGCAGGAAGCAGGGAGTATAATGCGTATGAAAGGCACGAATTCGAAATTTGTCATGTGCGGTTAAAAATCCATTACTTATCCATTACTTTGACATATGGATAAAAAGTGGTAACAATAGCAGTTATAAAATTTTCGCCATTTAGTTTTCTTTACGGCCTATGTCTTTGCCATTAAATTTATCTCCCGTTTACTTCGAAATAAGACAATGAAGTTTGCGGTTTTATTTCAAAAGAAAATCAATACGACCTCCACTAGATGTGAAGGAAAGTGAATTTTTTCCCGAACATATTTCCCCATCAACTGCATTGTTTAATCTTCTCAGATGCTAAGAGCGATTGTAGTCAGATCATTTTACATTAACAACTGATTTATAGTCTGGTGCGCGCTCGTTCTTATGCAATCTGATGATAAGACTGGGCTTAGTCTAGAGTATATATGTGCTTTACACGGACGTGATAGTTATCATGAATAACGAATACGTGACTCATTTCTCACTAGAATGTTTCCGCACGCAATTAATTAGATCTTAAACTGTATTACTTCCCGTTCCATTCATTCTGATTCAGAAGATCCGAGCCCTTACTTGCATCTTCAGGTTAGGTTGTTCCTCGCTTATTATTTTTGGCGAGAAACCGACTAAGTATTTTAAGGTTTAATGATGTTGATTGAGCTATGAGTCCTGTGAGTTCTTCCTCTTCATAATTCCCAAAACAGAAAGAAATTATGCTAAGATGGTTACGCAGTCTGATCCAAGAGTGTCTAATGCTTGTCGTTTCTCAGGTGAAAATTTACAAGGACATGGCCAAATCGCTAACAAAAATGTATATCCTATTGCGGAAATCTTTAAGACAAATTCTGAGGACAAAAATAGACCGCAATATGCAGGCTAATATTCCGGTAAACTATCATAAATATGATCAACCAACCGTCAGTCTTTTTCTTTTTTAGTGCTGAGGCGGAACTAAAGGAGAACGATGGGCGCACTAAAGTGGCTTATAATGTTTATTTTTGCAACAAATTGGAGTGTAAGATGGCTTTGTTTTGACATTTAAGCCAAATGGTCAGTTTTTAACCATGCAAAAAACAGTTTTAAGAGTCAATGGTTTCTTTCTGCAGGAGGAAGAGGCAGTATGTAAACAAGGAGCGACGCCACAGCCTGGAGGTAAAGTAATTTGCTGCAGGGCAAAAAGAAACAATAAAAGGTGTAGAAATAATAAATCCAAGCGTCTTGGTAAATTAATTTTAAACCTCAGACGCAGGAAAAAAACTTTTTTAAAGAATCACGTTCCAAATCCGAGTACAAAAAATAGTGTTGGCTACGAGTTCACTGCAAATAAGAAATCATAAATTACACACTTATGAAACAGACGTGGTATACATGTTTTAGACACTGGCATAGTTTCAATTCGTCAACAAGCGATAAACATTTAAGAACATACGTTTCGCCTCGGATTCGACGTTGGAGGAAAGGATTATTACTGAAACATTGCTCATTACTTAATATTAATATCATCCATGCTTCTTCAATAACTTTTAAACATTTTTTCAAAGCGTATTCGTGCTGATGTCGAGTTGTTGAAAGCTTTTATGAAAGATATCGCGAAGAACACCATTTTTTTTTCTTTTTTTGCAGTCAATATATCACAGTCACTTGCAAAACCATCAGAAACTAAGACACTTTAGCAAGCCTTTGATACTCCGAAAGTTATCAATTAAAAGTTTAGCTGTAGTCATGTTCGATTTTCCCATGCTTGGGCTTGTGGTTATACGTAAGTCACTGCTTTCCTCACTAACTTGTGCTTTCGCATACACTTCATGGTGTGGTCCATAAAAAGTTCATTATACTAAGACATTAGAGCTTCTCTGTTTTACAGATCTTTATGCTTGTAAGTCAAACCCCTTAACAACAAACAGTTCCGTCATATTAGATGAAGTCACGTCAGTTGGTGCTAAAGGAAGAGGAAGTTTCCAAAGACGTATTGTTCTCGACACAACTTTGTGCCCTTCACGTTCGTCTTCAAACCAATATCTTGAGATAAAGTTGAAATATTTTTACGATGTGTGCGCGGTCACCACGTGGACGGACATTTCAAGACTTACAGACACAAACTTCAAGATTAAAGTTTCTTATAATGGACACTTCTGGGACTACTACCGTGAGATGGGAAAAGTGAAGGTAATTGTTTTTTTGTAATGTTTATAGTTCGTTCCTACTGGTCAGAATGCCTGCCTTCAGAGTAGGTGGATATAGTGAGTTCACTTCTCTGTCTTCTTTGACGATAAACAACAAGTACTATACCGCTCCCTTTCCCCCCTCCCCCCGCCCGCCTTCAACTTAAAGAATTATCATCTAAATGAAAATTGAATGAAATGATTTTCATTCAGTCTTTCAACGAAGTAAGCAAACCGCTCGCCACCGAGTTTTTCTCCTTCCGACCCCTTTTAAATTGTATTATATATGGTGCAAGGCTGTCGGCCCTAGAGTGAATACCTTACAAAATCTTTCCTCATATTTCAGGTGTTTCAAGGAGCTGGGAACAAATGTAACATATCTTTACACCATCTCCATCTGACAACAAAGTATATTCGTTTCTATCCTGTGAAATGGGATAAGGGGAGTTGTCTTCAGTTCAACATACAAGGAAATATTGCTTGTAAGTTTTGTTTTATGTTAACATAGAGAGCTTCTTTTAAAATAATTTAATGTAATTTTCATTGCCGTTCTAAGGCAATTGGTTAAAGTTCTTTCGCTGTTAGTGGATAGACCTCATTGGCCAAGATTGGAAAAGACTAAAAATTACAAGACGTGCAGAATTTTTCAACAACATATTCTTAAAAATACAGTGATATTTCCTCCCAACAGAGGTTCTAAGCTTTGAAACATTGTCCAACACAACGTTCGAACTGTAAATAGCATTTATGTGCTCTTCCTGGTTGTAGGGTTATCTTTTATTTAAAAGCATAGCCAATGGCGTGTCGAAATGACGACATAGTCATGCTTCTCGGCGTCCTTTGTACTGAAAAAAAATATTCGACACTGGATGCGATGGTAAGCATTTTTATTCCAATACTGGAGCGTAGTTTTCTCAATAATGATGCAAGGTTGATTGCAAAGATGTTCCTTGCGGCTGCTTTGTAAGCTCGGAAACAGCTTGATGTCACAGAATCAGTTAGAATATTGTTTAAGCTACGCGGTGGGGGAAAATATTGCATTCAAATTTGTTTTGGTCCTGGAGGTCTAGTAGACTTTAAAAAAAAAGATTGTTTATATTAACGCTTGTTTCTCCGTATAACAGCATGCAAAAGCTCAGAAAGGCGACTGGATCTGTGGTGTAGGAATGGACCACTTCGTAACAATGTGTCCAACGCAAGATGTTCCGGTGACCTTAGAGCCAGATTTGACAGGGGCAAAAGTTCACCAATCAAGCTGTGGCGATGTTATTATGAATCAGCCCTGACGTCAGATTTTAGCGGCTACAATGACACACTGAAAAGCTCTTGCTACGTACTCAGGCATTTTCAGCTGCAACAAGTATCAAAAACTTGTAAGAATTCTTAACGTTAACATATATGATATCAGCTTTTCAGAATAGTTTTTGATTTGCTTTTGCTTTTCTGTTTGCCTATTTCTTTGTTTGGTTGTTTTTTCAGTCGTTCTCTAAATATAAGATCCAACGTTAAGACTGCAAGGCTTCCTATATACGACCGACGAGAATGGCGATGTGAACAATCACATTGCTGAACATTTATTTCACACCACAGATTGCATTTGCTTCGACTAGGACTTTGCTCAAGGCTTCACCTACAGCACAAACAATTTTCTGAACGATTGACTCTGGAAACCGAGAACATACACCTCTTAAGAGATCTCAACAACTACCAGCAACTTATATACTAAAAGAGAACCGGCTTATGACTCACTAACTGACCAATTAGTTTCAACGGACCAAACTTATAGCATCATCAACTGACAGGCACATTTCACTTTACTCTGAACATGGCTTACGGTTAGGTTTCGAAACGTCAGTCAACAACAACAGTTCCTTTCAGAACTGCCCTCACCCTATCGATCACACGACACGAATTGAGTTCTATCTCGGATAACGAGAGTTGACTGGCAATATCCTTTGAGATGATCTGGATCTTGTATTCTTGTAAACCTTTCTTGTCAGTTTAAACGTCGTCTTCTTTGTTTCACCAGGAGACTTTAAACAGTCGTTTCTTTGTTTTTTTCTTAATTTTTAATTTGATGCTCGTCAAAACCTGATGTTCAAATACCCTCTCTTGTGGTAGATAAATTATAGATTCACAAATGTTTATAGGCTCACAATAAAACATCTCAAGGGAAAAATAAGGAGTTATTGTTCTATTCTAAGTAAATGCTTTTATGGTGAATTTAACTGCACTTATTCATGCATTTTTCTAGGTACAAAGACCTCCTCCAGGACAATCGAATGTTGTTCGGTAAGTGACTAAATCAGAAAGTCGATCAAAACGGAATGTTTTTAGGAGTTTTGACTGAAAGATGGTCAGGTATGCCAGCGAAGAAACCAAGAAAGCACAAATTGCCAATAACATTTTTATTATCACCATGCTGCAAAAAAGAAAACAAGGGAAGGGAATTTTGATCTGAGACTTTCGTGCTTTAGCTATAGCGCTGTGTGTCTCTGACAATCGAAAAAAATATCAGAAGTGATTGCATACCACATGTAGGCAGGAACTGTGTTCATCATGCGGATAACCCCAGAGTCGTGGTAACATTTTTTAATTTTAAAAATTTTTCAAAACTGGCCGATACTTCAAGAATATTATCTGGCCAGAGCCTGGTAAGACGCGCACTGGGATTATCTAAATATTTTTGGCGGTATTTTTCCTAAGAGTAGTGAGTAATGGGTTTTCAGCAGAGAAACCTTCCACTATATTCTCCCAGTACGACCCTCGTACCCAGTTGATAACTAATTACCAAGAGTTCTTACTTATCACAATTTTAAGCAAGGAAAAGTAAAATTGTCTCAGTAGTGTTTAACACCTCACCAATGATATAACGTAATTGTACATGTACGGTATTTGCTTGCAGCCTGCACAGCGAGAAAATGAAAGAGAAGAGAAGCTGAATATCTCAGAGTACATAGCAGACTTTTCTCAGTTGACAAACGCTTACGAAACAACAGCTCAAATGTCTTCAGAGGACATTCTCGACGTAGTGCGGCTTCTTGAGAATGTGACACCAAACGAGCTCTTAAGGAATGCTACTCAACAAAACAGAGACCTGTTTGCAAAGGTATATAGATTCAAAAAAAGGACATTGATATTTCACGACTAAGCGTCGCCATTTAATCGCCATTTGACCATCTTCGAAAATAAAAACTGTGTTGGGGAGCGAGCGGGGTGGCTTAAGGCTGGTTTTCACTACTAGTGTCGGAGCCGTGGTCGGAGTCATATTAAACAACAACACAAACATTTATTGCTTATATTGCGCTTTTTCCATAAAAATAGTCAAAAGCGCATTACAATTGCAGAAGCGTAGAGCGATACGATCTAGTGAAATACACACCAGATCTTGAAAGCAAAACACCGATCCTGCTTATGACTCCGTCGGTTATGATTCAGTGAAAACTACATTGACGGAGTCGGAAGCAGAAGCGGAAGAAAAAACCAATCACAATGCTCGATTCCAGGCCTTGTAATTTGTCGTTGATTCTTGCACTTCTTCTTCCGACTCCGACAATCTAGTTTTCAAGAGATCATAAGCGACGGAGTCGCACACGGAATCGGAAGAAATGGAAACATTCTGATTCTTCCGACTCCGATTCCGTCGAACTTATGACTCCGCTTATGACTCCGATTTTCGATTTTCACTGGATCGGAAGCCCTCTTACGACTAGTGAAAACCGGCCTTTAAAAAGCGATAAACCGATTTTTAATTCTTCAATAATGACGATGTGCACTATTGCCTTATTAAATCTGATGCCTTCTTTCCACCTTAGTGTTTTCAAATTTCTTGTTTTATTTTCCTTTTTGGTAGACATATCTGGGGCTCTCAAGCACATTATTCAACGAAACCAATATTCCAACCTGGAGAAATCTTCAGAATTCTACAACTTTGAGTAGGCTATTGAAGGTAGTAGAGGAATTTGGTGTAGCATTTACCAAGTATCTGGATTGTGACAATGAAACAGAAAATAAAAGGACATTTTCCTTCTCGAACATCAGTAAGTAATTTTGTAATTATGTTAATTGTCAATAATCTTCACTTTTAGCTTCAAACTGAAACCCATGGATTTGTCATCATACATCACTCATAAATAAATAGAGAGCCTTCAATAAAGCGAATGACTCTCTAGATAAATTGTTTGATTTCCACGTTTAACAATGATTTCTACAAGTTGTTCACTGGTTATCATTTGATTTACTATCAGAACGCTGAAATGAAAAAGGCGCAAATATATGAATATATAAATACTAAAAAGAACTGAAACATAAAGATGGAACAATTGCTAAGTAAGAAAATCATTTGACATGAGTTAATTTCTCGTTTTGCAGAATTTATTGCCAAGTCATGTGTCGACAAGAGATCCTTTCCAATAACGTTGTCTTCCATTCAAGGATGCAACTCAGACAATGATTCATCCTACTCTTGTAACGCATCAAGCAACGTTATGGACAGTGCTATAATTCCTGAATTTTTATTGAACGGTAAGCTTCATAAAAAATATCGCTCAACTTCCAGAAGGAAAACAATTCAACATGGGTTAACGTAATCAGCGCGTGTTAGTTTCATATCGTAAGAATACATGCAGGGAATAACTTACCATTTCCTACTATACGTTATCTAAACAGGTCATTAAAGCACTTAATTGATACTTATTGCAGTGGTCCTGAACTTATTTCCCTTGTATACACAGAAAATCAACGATGGCAATTGTCATTTGTTTCATACAAAAACGCGCACAGGATATTTGCTGTTGATTCAACCAAGGGAAACGTCAAGCTAGAGTAAGAAGTACTTCTCAAGTTCATAATGTTGATGTTGTTGTTGTTTTGTTGTTGTTGTTGTTGTTATTGTTTTTTTGTTTTTTGTTTGGTACTGCTGCTGCTGTTACACAGTGGTGGCCTGACGTTGTTGACTGAATGCATTTTTTTCCTGTGTGTAGGACTGTCAAGGTGGACAGCCGCGTTATGTCGTTGACTGTGAAACCTGATGGGTTAATTTCTAACGAAAACCCTGTTGTCTTGACTTTTAAGCCATTTTCACGGGTAAGTAAAAAATGTACATTTTGCACTCAAATGTTTTACACTTGGAGTGCTTTAATATAATTATTAAGGTGACATAATTGAAACTTTCTATTTCTAACAAATTTCTACTACAAGAGTGACCCAATATAAGCGATGTACCTTTAGACCTGGAATGGGTTTTGGATATTAGCAAAAACGAGATCTCATTGGCGAAGAAGCTTCAAGTTACAAGCAAGCTAGTATTAAAAAAAAAAAGCAAGAGGCGTTTTGATAAAAATTGTTAATCGAAGTGGGCTCAAAATTTTTTCATTGATGAGCCATATTATTTGCTTAAAGGTCAGAAACATAGCGGGAGATCAACACTGCCCATGACTACAATTTTTTTCTCTACAGAAGCCAGGAAGAGTGAAAAATTTTCACTGTGGATTTTGGAACTTTAGTATTGAGTAAGTTTTAACGTTATGAAAATACACCAGGCATGTAACAAAAAATAGTTTTATCAAGACCTTTAATTCCATTCAGTGATTATTTTTGTCGCTTCTGTTCACAATACATCTTATAGAATCCATGCATATCACAGGCCACAAGATTGACATGAGAGACCTGGTCATCTCAGCGAGATAATGCCTGACCTTCATGCAGCCGAATTATTCAATGAATGCTATGAGGTTTCTCAGTATGAGGATTCTATGCAGCAAGAATTAATTCCATTTATTTTGAATCCCTGACTGTAAATCTTTCCCTGACTCTAAATCTATTTTTTAGTGAGACACCAAACGGAGCCTGGTCAACTGACGGATGTATTGTGCTGTCAACCAACACGTCACAAGTTACGTGTCAGTGTACACATCTGACCAACTTTGCTTTACTTGTTCAAGTGAATCCAGACTATCAAGTGAGTGTAGTACTTTTGAGCAGTATTGCTATTTTTTTTTACAACCCCTGCTTTAATTTTCAGCAGAGAAGGCTTATGTTTTTCATGATACTTTACCACAGACCCAAGGGATACACAAACATGTTCTGAAATGGATGACCTACCTGGGATGTTCGCTGTCATTGGCTGCAGAGATACTCTGCTTGTTGACATTCATCCTGTTGGCGTAAGTAATCAGAAATAAAAGTTGCCATAATGATTATAATCTCAATCTCAGATAATGTATTTGCATTTTAAGAGTTTCAACTAAGATTTCATGAATGAAAGAAAACGCAGCTTTTTGAGACAAATGTGCAAACGATAGCCTAAACAAAATGTTGAAAATTCCGGTGGAAATGGGGGCAGCTTGTGTCACTTTGTGCTTGAAGCTATTTCGCCGAAAGGAAGCAACCCTTGACCTTCTGTCAGAAAAAAAATGGCTGAAAACAGCACATTTGGTGAGCTTTTTACCAAAGAAATTCAGGAAATAATGAAAAATGTCATCCCAAATACTACAAAAAGTCACAGCACGTCACATTATCAACTCAGCTTCGTACTGTTTGATGAGAAACATGTAAGCTTGCACATGTACAACAAAGGCAACTGAATGGCGAAGCCGAAGGTAAACAGCAAAGAAGAAAGGGAAAATGGATTTTCGGCATAAAATTAAGCTATATAGCAGATTCATCAAATTCTGTTACCTTGTATTTGGGTCTTGCCCTTTTATGCTGTAATGGCATCTGTTAACTTGATCTATTCAGAGATTTGTATCGTTTCAACACTGAGCTGATGTTTCAACAAGTAAACCCTTGCTTCATTTGAAATATTTTTCAGCAACCCTTTTACTTCAGATCTTCGTGTAAAACTGTCGTCGTTTGTAACATTTTCCCACCGTGTTGAAGACTTTCGAGGAGTTTGTGCGAATAATATTTCGGAAGAAAACTCTTTCTTGCTCGCCTTCAATCTCCCACGTTTCATTGATGAACTCAAGTGTACACCGCGTCCACACTTTGGCGCCTTTTCATACGATTACTTCATGTAGACCAAACTGAGATGTCCGTATCTATTTTTTATTACTTCGTATGAAACTCGGGCGTATAGAGTAACTGTTGAATGCGCCGACGAGTTCTTGTACCACGGTAAAAGTTCAATTTATAATTACTCAAATTTCGACCTCATAGATGACTATTCAAAGTTTTTGAGATGAGTACGATGACAAATGAAATTTCAAATTTCAAAATTGCACTCACACTGCAATAAGGCTTGAAGTCAATTTCGTCTGAAACCGTATTGAAGTGGATTGTATCTTCTCTCGTTTACCTGTGTCACTTCTTTTGCTCGTTTGGTGTGGCGATGATTCCGATGAATAGTTGTTGAAATGGAAGGAAATAAAACTTGCCGTGCCACCGTTTGAATCGACTGAAAATGAGTGGGCTTGTTCCGCGCACGCTGAGAGTGCATGCATGCAGTTAGTTGTAATTGGCACAGAGGAGTTTTACAACAAACAACCCAGTAAAAGGCCCTACTGAAAGAATGTGTGATGCGTTTTCGTTCATTGCAATATCACGCACGATTGAAAAGTTATTTCACAGCATCTGTGCCCTTATTTGTATTCTCGTGAGTGACTAAAGGAGAAATGAGCTGTCTTTGTACGTAGTCTTTTCGGTTTCTTAGATTAAAGGGCGGGGAAAGCAAAACCTGACACAAACAGTGACATAGCGATGCCAGGCAATTCTTCCAATCAATCAAGTGTCAAGAATGGCGTTAACAAAAATTTGTCATCACCACAAAAACTTTTCACGATCACAGAGCTGTCCGAGCGAATACTTAATGGTCATCCTGATTATGATTTTCTGTAGCTGTCAGGTACCCGTTACCGCTGCGTCAATGTCTTCTTTTAGAGCCAGTTGCTTCTCCCATCCCCACCCCTCTGAGAGCCAGATCCAATGAAAAGAGCAGACATACTACCTTTTCCTTAAAATGCACTGAGATACCGCAGTCAGTGGTGGGATATAGATGAACCACTAGATTCTTTGCCCCACCCACTAGGACAACAAGCATGGATTAAAGTGCTAAGTTAAACGAGAAAGCTATTCAGTAATTCTTCAATTGTTTCAGGAAAGTTAAGGAAATTAGAGTTAAAATCCATATCAACTTAGTTGGATGCCTTGCAGTTGGTCATCTAGTGTTTCTAATTGGAGTGGAAAATGCAGCTGGTCACAAGGTAAAAGACCGATTGTTGTCTCATCCTAGTCAGCTGCGAACAGAAGAGTGAAATCTTATGTAACTGCTGGCTTGTACTTTTTCATGATTTTTCGTCTATTACTAACACCGAGTTCAATGCTGGTGATCTTTTTGTCCAAAGACTTTGAAAACGCTGAACTAGCATGCAGCCAGTAGTAGCATGAAAGCAAACTGATCGCGCCAGTTTTAATGTTGCCCACCAGAAATAAAATTTCCTAGAATAGGAAAGCGTCAGTATACGTTTAACAAAGGACGATTGGGGAGATGGGGAGGAAGAAGGTCTTCCATCAAGAAAGTACTACCGTGAAACCGTTCAAATAAATAATACTTGGTTCAAACGTGTCCCCCACACTTTCCACAACTGTTTCTTTTCCTCGAGCTAATAATGTTCAATGAATGAATGAATGAATGAATGAATGAATGAATGAATGAATGAATGAATGAATGAATGAATGAAGGAATAAATGAATGAATAGAACCACATCCCTCGAAAATTATTTATTTCTGAGATTTTCTGGTGCATTAACATGTTGAGTTTCTCTTTGCAGATGATATGTAGCATTGTTGCAGTTAGCATTCATTTCTTTTTCCTGGCCTCTTTCATGTGGATGCTGGTGGAAGGAATTCATCTCCTATCGAGAGTGAAAACGGTTTTCAAACCAATAAACAAATTACGAGTAGCTTATGCTTTAGCGTATGGTAAGAGACTTTTAATAAATCGAATCTGAAATTCAATAAATCTTGATTACATGAGAATTAAGATTGAAACAAAATAGAAGCTTTTTTAAGGGGCGAGGATAAAGTAAATTCCATACACTGTTTAGAGTGGTTTTCATTAGAGTGTCGAAAATTAATTGGTTTTGCATCAACTACGCAACACGATTGGCTTAAAAAACTTTTTCATCCAATCAGAGGTAAAACCAAAACCAACTGTGATTCACTCGCACTTGTTTTCCTGCGCTTTGCATCGTTACATTTAATTACTTCGAGGTTTGATTGGTTTACTGGATTGTCTGTGTCCTTTGTGATTGGCGAGAGTGATTACGACACCCAATTAAAAACTGCTCTAAGAAGCATAAGACATATTTCTTTGAAGTCCTGCGTAGATGAACACGCTAATCGACACTTCCATGCATTTTGTTTCACCGTTCGAGACAAAACTGGTGATTTATTCAATTGCAATAACATACAAGAAAGGTAGTACCTTTCCTGCGGTGATTTTAGCGAAATTGTTGATAATTAATGAAAGAGCCCAACCGTGTACGTCACGATTTCCAGTTGTACCAAGTGAAAGGATCCTTGCTTCACAGCCGTACTTTGGTCGCTCTTTTCGGGTTGCAAAGAGAGCTTACACTTATGTTACAAAGCATGTTATTGTGAGCGATTCGTTGAACCACCGAGAAACAGCGCTATTATGTGTCATCATTGATGGAAACATGATTGACATACATAACAAGTTTCTTTCCCATTTTTTCCTTAGGTCTACCATTGGTCATAGTTGGAAGTACTTTTGCGGCGATGTTCAACGAGTATGGAACCCTGAAACAGTAAGATATGCGTTTCTTCTGAATAACGGTAATGCCATAGGTACCTTTTCTCCAAGAAGTGGAGTTGATTCTTGCCTTCCTTTTCTTGCAGTTGCTGGCTATCCGTATCATCTGGTACAATATGGTCGTTCATTGGCCCTGTTAGTACTATTGTCTCGGTTGGTGCTTTATCTTCCTTTTGTGTGAATTCCTTTAAAATATGTTTTGAAGGCCCCATCGGTAATCAAGATGTAGTTCCTCCTCAGACTATTCAGTTTGCTGTAAATTTATCATATTTGATATATACGTATATTTTTATTTGCGATAAAAATAACTTATCATCATAGCCTCCTCACTACGGAAAATAATAAGCGGAATGAATAGACACCTGGCCCCAGTTGTTCAAAGGGTGTATAACGCTATCTAGCGGATAAATCGTTATCCAGTGGATAGCGTAGTTTGTCTTGTCAACACTCATCCACTGGATAGAGATTTATCCGCTGGATAGCGTTATAAACCCTTCGAACAACTGGCCCCTGTCACAGTGATTTGTTTCTTTTGAGAAAAGATGTATGTAATGTATCCAGGTTCTTATATTAAAAGTGGGGTTGTGGGGAAAGTTGCTTCTCTCTTAAAGTGACAATCGAGATAGCAATAAAGAACAGACATACAATCTTATATTTCGTTACCCATTTTCTGTTGTTGTATCACAATCTTAGTGCTTGAAACAGACTAATATTGCATCTGATGAACTGAGTCGCTACCCACCGCAGTTGAGCGTGTTACACCTATCAAAGCCATCCAGACTTGAGAACAGTGGCCAACTTGAGTCCAATTTCTGTCCTTCGATAACCCTTTTTACATAAAGCTAACCTGGTTATGAATGTAGCAGATTTTGGTGTCCATATTAGGTTAACACTGCTGTTATCACGTTGGTCTTATGATAGATTCGCGCAGTTAAGAATCGGTATTTGAATTCACGTTAAAGTGAAGTTGTAACTCTCCTATCTCTTCACAGGTGAACATAATCGTACTGGCATTTGTTCTGCACAGATTGACGAAGACGAGAATATTTTCGAAACATAGCGATTGGAAAAAAATACGGTTTGTATACGCGATCTCTTTTAATTGGCAAATGTTCAAATCAGGATGGAATTTTTAACTTGTGATGAAGCATAGAGAAAATGGCAAAAGGAATCACCCTTGGCTGAAGGATTAATTATGAATTTCTTTTGTTTTATTCTCCTAAGCCTCGGAACACCTTTAGAATCATAATATCTTTAAACTTGCGTATTAGAGTAATAAAGAAGTGGTATGTTTCTAATCTCGGACATCTATATATGCCCAAGCATTCAAATGGTGTTAAGACGTGTGTCGGTATTGGTACGAACGGCAGCGCAACGTGGAGAGAGAAGCCATGTATGGCATCAGGAGCTGATGGTACTAGATTCCACCCAGCTGACCATCATTGCCCACCACTCATTTACTGAAGAACTGAGTTGTGCATTGTTGCTACCAAGCTGCCCTGTCAATCGCCACAGCTTTTTTTTCCGGACCCAGTTCTTCATCTCCTTCTCTACAGTCTTCGGTCACAATTTACGTTGACGACCTTTCTTCTATGGCCTCTTTTGTTCTGTCCTTTCTTTTTCTTATCTTTTCTGTATTTTTTTTTTTTAGTTCACACATGCAATGCAATCTTCAACAAAGCCCAAACAAAAAAATGTACACAAGTATAACTACAAGTTTAGATCATCATGTAACATTTGTTATTCCTCCTCAGAGTTACTGTTCGCGCCTCGTTATTGATGGTACCTCTGCTTGGGCTGAGTTGGTTCTTTGGACTTTTGGCCGTCAATCAGGACACAATAGTGTTTCAATATCTCTTTGTTGGATTGAACTCACTTCAAGTAAGTTTGAAATATTTGGTAGCTCGGTAAGAGAACCTGGTGGAACTCAAAGTATTTTACGAACCAGGGTTTATTGATCTACATGGCCAGTTTTCGTGGTTTTACCCAACTCACTCTAGTATACGTACATGCTGTCTGTATTACCCTGCAAAGCATTTTTGTTTGTTTGCTGTACGATGTCGCAGTTATTTTTAACCATACCTTTCTCTTTCTCTTTTTATCGTAGGGAGTGTTTCTCTTTTTTTCCCAGTGTGTCGTTCACGAAGAGGTATTTACGTTAGATTACAATGTAACCCCGATGTAACTGAGCTAGGTACAAACCTCTGAATGTAGAAAGTCAATGAAACACGATACATATGTTTCCGGCAACCGTGCTCAAAGGACCTTTGTTCTTTCCCTCTTGCCACTATGAGGGAAGAACTGAAAAGATGATAAAGGGTTCTGAAAGAGGAAATGCAGCGTATTTCCTCCACGAATCAGCATTGGGTCGGTAAAAAATGTATTTACTCAACTAACTTAAGTGCTTCTTGGCGTAACGTCGATTCTCCTTCTTCATCTGAGTTTTGGTACTTGACGTGTAGAATATAATATGATTGCTCTCATGCCAACCTCTAAATTAAAGAGATTATAGTGTACAAACGTGTTTATAAGTATCATTTGACATTTTAGGTCAAGGCCGGCTTCAGAAATATCTTGAGAAGGAGACGAATTACCCAGCAAGTGACCAGAATAGTCAGCAAGGCTCGGTCGAACGCCCAAACGCCAGAAGACCACCAAAAACCACACAGAGTAAGAACACAACCTTTGTTTCAAGAATTGCATAATTGACAATAGCAGAAAACATCTCTCGGTACTCAAAATGTATTTCCCTTTGTCTATATTTGTCACAGCTCTCGCCGAAAGAAGCTTTTTCAGTACCCGGGACTACAGTGGTTGATCACCGTATCAAAGTAGTACAAACTGTTCGTTTGACTAAAGTCACCCAGAAATCCCAAGATAATAACGGTGCGGTCAACAAAGTTTACCAACCGGAATTTCCGTCGAAAGTCGCTTGGGGAAAAACATCATTATAAACCTAGAACACAAAATACCTCACGAAGAATAAAAATTATTGGATTATTATAGACAACGATATTTAGTTAACGAAACAGGCAAGGACAAGAATGGAGTTGGGCGCCAGTTTCTTCAGTTCTTATTGGTTTAATATTACTTTAGACTGCGTAGGATTTTCTTCAGTTCTTAGGAATGGACCATCATTTTTTTGACGGGGGGAGGGTGAGTTGGAGAACACTTCTTTTCCTTTTTTTAATTTAATTTAATTTTTTTTTATTTTAATAAAGAACATTTCTGGCTACGAACTTTTTTGGAGTGTCAGATCCTGCTAGAATTTTTTTCGTGGCTCCTTTTGCACGATCAGTTTGTCACTTTTCATTCGCAAGACCCTCCTCAAGAAAAATGATGGTCCATCCCTTGTTGACTGTCATTTTAACGTGCAGTCACGACAACAGAGCTGAGGTAAACGCAAGTGCTATAAGCAAAAGCCTCTCAACTCTCTTTCAAGCCTTAGTCTCGTTGTAACAATCGCGTTGCGGCTTCACCGAACCTGGTAACTAGTTAGATTTTGTCTAGAAAGCAATTTTTTTACTACCGTTTTTTATTACTAATTGGAAACATTTGTTTCCATTTAAAAGTATTTTCAGTAAAATAGCAGCACGGCTATATGCATAAGCCTACTAAGGGAAGAACTAGGGACATTTCACTTAGGTGTTCATAACAGCGGACCCAAAATAGGCAAGGATGAAACAGTTGGTTTCTGATCAAACGTTTCGAAGAAATCGGCAAAGATGAGTCACCGGGCCAACTGCAACACAAATCGAAAATGGACTAAAACCAGCGGTTGTGCCGACGACAAAAAGAGAAACAGAATAAAATATAAATCGAGGAATAAATATGCCTTGTACATTTTCACAGATATGTTTAATTATAAATAAAATAAATAAATAAATTACAAATTTACAGAGGAAGCCACATCAACCTTAGCTGGTTTTCATGGTCGAATCCTATCCTGGTCGAATTGAAATTTGTAGTGTTGGTTTTTGTGGAGGGAGGAACTTCAACTTCAACTTCAACTTCACTTTATTTTGCACTTACAGTTTTGAAATTACAATATTAGCATAAAAAAAGAAAAAAAGATACATATATAACAATTAAAGGTGACAATGGTCTATAGTTTGTGCATGAAGGCTAATAGAACCGCGAGGTTATCGAGTTACAGAACCCCGAGAACCCGGAGAAAAACCCTCGGAGCAAGGCAAGAACCAACAACAAACTCGACCCACGTGTGGCTCCGTGCCGGAATCGAACCCAAGCCACGTTGGTACGGAGCGATCTCACTACTGCGCCATCCCTGCTCCCCATTCTTGCCCTAATATCATAGCGGAGCAAGCGGAGCACCATAACTATAGGAACAGAACCACATGCATGCATGCATAGAAACAGAAACCCATATGCAACTCTTGTCTCATGGTTCAAATGACTAGCGCCATGGATCGTGGGCGCGTGCGCCCAACGACGACGACGACGACGACGACGACGACGACGTCGCCCAACATGACGGCCATACTCCAGCTAATACAAACAAGTCTTGGTTTATAGCGTACGTCTTTGATATTTGACATCCATGTTATGGTCAATCGACACCTGTCAAAACAGGGCATCCGCTGACCAGTATCACGTGACCATATCGCGGGCTCAGGTTTAAAGCTCATCGAGGTCGTGTGTTTTTTTAAAGTTGACCCCTGATCAAATACTTGTTTTCGATTGGACCTCGGGCTCATGTCAGTTTAATTTGTTGTAATCAGGGCCGGGTTGTTCGGAAATTGGGTTAACGCTAACCTAGGATAAAAAGTTAACCGAAGTATAAATTCATGTTCTATACAAGTGTTTTTCACTACTTTAGGGTCAGGGCTCCTGGTGTAGTTTGACATTATTCAAAATCAAAACAGAACGCCAATAATATAAACAGAAAACCTCAACGTAGTTACAAAACTCAAATCAAAATTCTCGCTTATCCTGGATTAGCTTAATCGGGTTTTGAGCAAAGCGGACCAGGAGCTCCGCTTTTAGGCTTGGCTAAATCTGTACATTACAGTTAGATGCAGAAGCATAGGTGATATGCTTCTGTTAGATGTGATTGGTTCAATTTAAACAGTAACTCATTCTTGCGTTAAAGGTCCTGCTGGATACGAGCAGTAGTACGTCAAATGAAAGGTGGCCTGTAATCTGCGTAGCAGTCGGTTCAGTTGGAGTTGAACAACAAAGTAATCTTCATCAAAGAATTTATCGTGCTCTTCTTTGTTGGTCTGGCTCCCCGGAATCGAATGCTACGCAGGGTTCTGCATCACCAAATTGGAAGATTCACCCAATGTGAGTATATCTGGATCGGGGTGACCAAATTAAAAGCTGTCGAAATCGCCAAATTTTCGTATAAGCTCGTACTTCTGGGAAAATATCTGATGTCTGGCAGTTTATAGGCAAGTTCCTCTTCACACTGACAAACACTTCGTAAAGCTTATTACGGCACTGTTTCGTGCTTACAAGCCATTCTCTTGTCTAACGTGGCCAATCAGCCTCCGTTTATAATTATTACTTTTGCATCAACAGTTAAATCATTGAAGTATTAACCAACGTTTCTTAAGCATCAGAGAGGGAAGGGAACATGCCTCAAGTTCCATGCACCAGGAACAATTTTCATGCTAAATTACCTTTATTACACAAATAAATTAGTACCATTAAAATATCACACAATTTACAACAATGATGAATGCCAAAACCTTCATATCAGCACATTAAAACTTACTATAGATATAGTTTATGTATTCTACCTTCTGTGAATAAATACACAGCTAACTACACTATTTAAGATTATATAGCGTCCCAGTCATCTCAACATGAATAACAGCCGGCGAGCGGTCTTCAATTACTCGGCAAAGTTAAGTTTGCCTTGGCTTTGAGTTTGCTTAACCTTGCAATGGGTTAAAACAAATTCATGTGATGTGTCTTAACCAATCAGAGCAAAATACTGTTGTTTATTTACCAATCAGGAGAAAAGACGAAACCAAGCGTTTTTAGCACACTCGGTGTTTTCCGCACCCGACACAAGTACAAGTTGGTATTAGGGCATGATATTGATAAAATGCTCAAGAATATTTGATTACTGACGACCTTAACAGCACGACATCAGGCAAGTTACACAGTTACAAAGCAATTTTGACCACCATGCATGACGACATTGTAATTAATAATGCTACCGTAAATACTCGCTTCTGATTGGATCAATTTATCTTTAATTGCATCGATAGCTGAACAACTAAATTCAAATCGTATCTGTCGCATTTGAGCAATGAAGTTGAGCTCTTGACAATGAAAGCGAATGTGCCCCAGATAAAACTTTCAGGTTTAACCAGGTTGCCGTGTTAAACAAACAAAAAACTGCCTATGAAAAAGACAGCAGTAAACAAAAACGCAAAAAAACAAAACAAAGCAACAACAACCGAAACTTGGCTCCGCGCGTACCGTCATTAAAGCTTGTATTTACGGTTGCCGTATTATTAGAAGGAAATCGGTCTTTTTCTCGAAACATTTCACACTAGTGAACAGATCAGACTTTTTCTAATTTCCACGCGTCGCTGAGGCAGCCATTCGTGGAAATTACTAAAACGTCCAATCTGCTAACGCACACAATAAATCTCCAGCTGCTGATCAAACAGACAGATTACTTGTACTAAGACTGACAAGGAAGGCGGCAAATAAACTAAGACATTAACGGGATTAGAGTCATGACCTGGGTGATACGGTCCGTCACTTTAACAGATAGATTCCATGTTGCCGTAGGTCTGTTCAGAAATTGATCACAGATGACGTCAAAATGGGGAAGAACAAAAACGGGGCACACGAGGCGATAGCGACGATAGCCGAGTGTGTCACTGATGTTCTTACCACATTTTGACATTCTCTGTGATCAATTACTGAACAGACACACTGCAACATGGAATCTATTTGTTTTATATAGTAAAGAAACAAAAAGAAATGTTAGTGACGCCATCTATGCGTCTGTCCTCCAGTTGACCATAAGTATACAAGAACGGTTTGACTTATTATATAAAATTCAATTGAGTGGGGAACTTGCTGTATTGTCAAAGTATCTACCAGAGCTTCTAGCTGAGTACAAATAAAGTTGTTGTTGTATCATAAATCACGTCGCTGAACATCAGTATCACGGAATCTTAGAGCCCCCAGAATATTTTGCGGGATTCCTAAATAATTGTTTTCTTTTCACGACTGTACATTGGCACCTATATATTTACAATGTTTGTGGCATATCTGCTTTCTCGGCAGCATACAACTCTCTTCTAACGCGGTGAATATGACAGGAGCTGAAGTGTTTGAAACAGCAAACGCAATTGGACTGACAAAGACGTATCAAACAAATACCTAATTACACTTTTCATTCTTTACTCGCTCAATGAACGCCTCATGAAATCCACATACGAGATTTTTCCCTCCATGTTTTCATCAAAGACTGAGAATATATGAAAGAAATCTTCCTCGTTCAAAGGAAAGCTGAACCTGCTCATGGCAACCTTGAAATCTGTGACGGACACAAAGCCATCGCCCAATTGGTCCAACTTTTTGAAGGCTCTCCTGAGTGCCTTGAAGTCTGAAATCATCTGTAGAAATAAAGAGCTTAGTAAAAAGCACGCAAACCAACGCAAGTGGATCTTATATTGACTTACATCGGGTTTTTCAATGCAATAGATTTTCAAGGAAATAAACAAAAGAGATATAAAACTATTAACCACGGAATATATTGGGTTTATCTTATTCTATCACTATATTCTCAGAATTAATGAATCAAATCAACGCAAGGAGAACGAAGCAATGCCTGTAGTTATAACTGCCCCAACTTTCTCTCTGCATAAGGAGTGTTGTGAGATCTTTTTGGAACTTCACCGGAACACGCTGCTACACCACTCAGCTACAGCGAATATCGAATCCATAAGAAAGGTCTACGCACGTCGACGCCTATCGGATAGATAGATAGATAGATAGATAGATAGATAGATAGATAGATAGATAGATAGATAGATAGATAGA